GCGCCCTCCCCACACGCCAGCCGCGCTCGCCTTGTTGATCTCGTGCGAGGTGCGGAAGCCGTCGAAGAAGTGCACGATGGGCACGCTGCCCGCCAGCGTGGCCAGGTGCGACACCAGGGCCAGGTCCTGCGCCTCCTGCACGCTGTGGCTGCTCAGCATGGTCCACCCCGTCGACCGCACCGCCATCACGTCCTGGTGGTCGCCAAAGATGGAGAGGGCGTGGCCCGCCAGCGCGCGCGCCGACACGTGCAGCACGCACGGCATCAGCTCGCCCGAAATCTTGTACCTGCGAGGGAGGCAGAGAGGCAGGCAGGGAGCCAAGGCAGGGGGTCAGAGGGTCGGCGGGAGGAGGAGCACCAGGAGTGGGCAGGGGGAGATCAGGGAAAAGGGGGCCGAGGGTGGGGGTGCTGCGGACGCTGTGGGCGCCACGCGGCATGCGAGGGGGAGCGGCCCTGATACTGCGGTGCTCTGAGGAGGCGGGCACGGCGCGGCTCACATGTTGGGGATCATGAGCAGCAGGCCCTGGGAGCAGGTGAAGGTGGTGGCCAGGGCGCCGGCGGCCAGCGCGCCGTGCAGCGCCCCCGCCACGCCCGCCTCAGACTCCATCTCCGTCACCTGCGGCGGGGTGGGGTGGGGGGGTGCAGGTGGGTGCAGCGCGATGAGCGTGCAATGCGGGCACGCCTGGGTATCCCCCATGCCGGGGCGTGGGGTGACATCTGGTGGTGCCAGGTCAAGCGAGGCGCCCCCCTGGGCTGTGATTGCTGTGCGCGCTCCCTCCTGGCTGGGCAGTCGCCGCCGTATGAGACAGCCGCATGCTCCCCCGCCACCTCCACGCACCGACATGACGTTGCCAAACAGGTTCTTGCGGCCCTCAATTGACCATTGGTCCACAAACTCGCCCATGGGGGTGGCGGGTGTGATGGGGTAGATGAAGGAGACGTCAGAGGTGGCGTAGGCGATGCGGGAGGTGGCCTCGTTGCCGTCCAGCGGCGCCTGCTTGCGGGCGGCCGCGGGCTTGGCGGCGGGCGGCTGCGCCAAGGGCGCGGGCGGTGGCGGCGCCGCCACCGCGTGCGGGCGCAGCAGGTCGCCGCGCGCGGGCTCCTTGTCCCTGCCGGGGCCCGCGGGGGCGGCCTGGCAGGTCACCGGCAGCGCGCCGCGGCTGCAGGGGTCGCACAGGGGGGTCGCACAGGCGAGAGCGGCGGTAAGTTGGGCAGGCAGCGGTTGCAGCGGCGGCGGCAAGGGCATGGGCTGCAGCAAGGTTGCGGCGGCGCTGGCCGCCACAGCACCCGACAGGCATGCCGGAGTCCCGGCAGAGGCCAGGCAGCCCGCGCAGCAAGGGTCGGCGCCGCTGGTCAGCGTCTCGGTGATCGGCCGAGCCGCGGGCTGTCGAGACCGCCCCCTGCTGCCCTCACTCACCGGGCGAAGCTGAGGGGTGCGGCATTGTGCGAGCTGCGACCCCTGAGCCTCTGGCAGGGGCCCGCCGCCGGAAGCGACAGGGCTGTCTGCAGACTCAAGCTCTGCATTTTACGGCTTGCCCGCTCTTTGGTGCGCCTGGGCGGCCAAGGTGCCAGACCAGGGGTGCTGCTTGTGCGAGGGACCAGCTGTCTGACCGGTCCGAACGATCTTGCGTGCACGAATGCTTGGAAATGAAGGAACGGGTGTGTGGATGGCGTTGAAACGGTAGGATGCTTCTGTTTTTTGTGGTTCTACCTAGGGTGGCGGTGGTTGGTAAAGTTGAAAGGTGACGTCGTCCGCCAGCAGGGCAGGTGGACTGCGACAAGGGGATCGTCTGGCCCTGCTGCAAGTTTCGTCGCGCTCCGCGTGCATGTCCGAATGGTGGGTTGCGGCCGACCCACGCTTGCAGTCATGGAAAACGAGATACTGCCTCCCTTTCGCAGCCGTCAGTGTTTACGCTAGCAAAGCAGATAAGGATGACGCATGGCTCGATAGAGCGCATCCCGGACGGCTGACTCAAGCATGCGGCCGTTCAGACTGCTGCCTGGGGGCTTCCGCGGCGGCAGTGCCGCCCCGTCCATATCCAGCAGCTCGCTTTGCATACAACAAATGCAAGCAGAACAATCAGATGGCGTGCAGACATGCCACCCCATCAACCGTGCTCACCCCACCAGCACCGCGCTGTTCACCTGCAGCCGATGCAGCAGCGGGAGGCGCTGGCGCAGCGCCGCCAGCTGGGCCTCGCCGGAGGCGGGCACGTGCGCCAGCTGCACCACGCGCAGCCGCCGTGCCCGCAGCAGCGGCGTGAGGTCGGGCAGCCCCTCGCCATCCAACAGCGCGCTGCTGCCGCTGCTGCCGCCGGGGGCCCGACGCCGCTCCCACTCCGCCACGCCCCAGCGGAGCTCGGTCAGGTGCTGCAGGTAGCTACCGCCGCCGCTGCCGCCGCTGGGAGCGCCGCCCTCGGCATCGCTGCTGGATCCCTCGTCCTCGCCTACGCCCTTGCTCTGCCTCAGCAGCCGCGCGCCGGCTGGTACCGGCAGGCGCAGCACGCCCGTGTGCAGCAGGTTGAGGGAGCGCAGGGGCAGGGCGGAGGCCAGCGGCGCGGGCAGCTCGCGCAGGGCCGAGCAGCCCTCGCAGCTGCAGGGCAAGCAGGGAGGCCGAGGCGTGGCGTGAGTAGGCGCGGGCGGGGCAGGGTCAGACTCAGAGGACCAGCAGGGAAGCGTCTATGCACCCGTATATACACCTGAGGGCTTGCAGGCGGGACAGGCGGGACAGGCTGGCGGGCAGCTGGCGGATAAAGTTGCGTTCCAGCACCAGGGCGGTGAGCGCCGAAAGGCGGGCGAGCTCCTCGGGCACGGCGCTGATCTGGCAGCCCGGCAGCGACAGCTCGCGCAGCGTGCCCGCCAGCCGCCCCACGTCTGCCGGCAGCCAGGCGCCTGCAGCGCACATGCCAGGCGTTCAGCTGTGACAGAGCGCGGCAGCCACAGGGAGGGCAAAAATGAAGGCAGCCCTGCGGCTGGGTGGCTCCCGGCTCTCACCGTCGGCAAAGTCGGCAAAGCGCAGGTGCAGGCGGGTGAGGGGCAGGTGCAGGAGGTCGGTGGGAATGCACTGCCAGTCGCAATCAGACACGGACAGGTCCTGCGAGAAGAGGCGTGTGGGGAGGTGGTGGCTTGGTGGTGTGGGCTGCTGGGAGGGGCACCGCCTCCTCACAGTGCTGACTAGATTGACAGCGCCTGCGCGGCACCCCAGCACCTCTCCAGGCCAGGGATCAGCCCGGCTGCCTCCAGCCCCAGCCTTCTTGCCACCCGCTGCCAGGTGGCCCACCTGCAGCGACTTGAGGCTGGCCAGCGCCTTGTGCTGCTCCAGGCCGCTGCTGCACTGCACGCTGAGCCTGGTGAGGGCAGTGCAGCCGTCCATAGAGCGAGGCAGCGCGTTGCCCCTGTGGAGGGGGCGTAGGCGGGCAGGTAACCGCGGTAAGTAGGCATACACGTATCGGATAGAGCTCCCACACGTTCTTGCCCATCCCAGAGCACACACGCGCGCGCGCGCGCACACACACACACACACACCACGATGCACACAGACCTGCCCCAGAAGTCAAGCTGCAGCTCGCGCAGGCGCACGCCGCGGGAGAGGAAGGCGGAGGTGGCTCGCCCGCTGTCGGTGCACACCAGGCGCAGCGCCTCCAGCTGCGGCGCAACGATCTCTGCAGCACATCGTGGGCAGGCAGGATGGGAGGCTAGGGTGTCGGCACAGGCGGGCAACATGCTGCGGCTGCAGGTGCAGGCAGGCCGGCAGCTGGGCTGCTGCCAGACCGCGCCCCACCTGCAACCGCCATTCTGAGGATCGCGGCCTGGCTGTCATCCTCCCACCGCTCGGCTGTGAGGGAGAGGCGCCTGCAGGGAGGGGCAAGCAAGTAGGCACGCAGTAGAGCAACACGCCAGCTGAGCGAGCGGAAGCTGCAGGCCTGTTGACGCCGGCAGCACCAAGCATGCAGCATGCGTGCAGGGGCCACACCTGATGCCGCTCCTGCGCAGCAGCCAGGCGGTGAAGGAGGCCCGCTGCTTGGCAAAGTCTGGGAACTCGCGGGTGCGCTGCAGGAGCAGCGCAGGCATCGATGGTGCGGGCGCAGTGAGCCAAGTTGGCGTGGTTTACTGCCGAGGCGTTGCGGCAAGCCCCCCTTGGGACAGCAGTCTTCACCTTGCAGAAGAGGGGCACCCTGTTGAGGTTAAGGTCTGCCAGCAGGTTGCTGCTGCCGTCAAGGGCCACGGCGCGCCACCAGGAGCAGACGGCGCACACGGTCCGGCACCTGCGCAGGGCGAGCGGCGCGCAACGGAAGGCGGCAGCAGGCAGCGCGTTACCGGGGATGGGCGCTGCAGTGGCGCCTTTCAGGGAGGCGCCTGGCGGGCAGCAGGTCGGCGCCGGCGGGGCGGAGCGGCAGCGCCTGCCCGGTCCCCGGCGCATGCGGCTGGTCTCCGGGAGGCTGCGTTCGAGTCGTGCATGGCCGCTGCACCTGTCAAAAATGGGCAGGAAGGAGAACGAGAGCGCCAAAACTTCACGTGGGGCATTGCCCCATTCCAGCAGTCCATCCATGCCTTCTATAGCGCTGCTAGACATGCCCCACAAAAGCAGCAAAAGCAAGCATCCGTGGGGCCATGGATCTCCAGCGTGCTGTGTGCTGGGCCCTCTGACCTGTGCATGCGCCTGGCTGCCGGATCTCTACGCTATTTCGACTGCTGTCTATTCAGCTCCTATCCAGTGTCCCCCCCACGCCAGCCCGCCTGGTCTCGGACCCACCTTCACTGCAGCAGCTCCCGGCTTCTGCAGCGACCTCGCTGGCCAGCCAGACTTGCCGCCGATCGCAGAGGTGAGTGCAGCTATTGGTGGCATATCCTGCCGGGTCCTGGCCGGGACTCGTGTTGGCGCGCTGTCGAGAAGTTTTTCGCGCCGCGCTGTGAGGCGTCTCCAGCCTCTCCTGCGCGCTCCTGTGCAAAGGATTCAAAGCCTGGATCCTGTGTGCAGCCCCCGTGACGGCCGCCCCGGTGTTGCTGCAGGGTGCCGCCGCCGCAAGACGCTGCTCGCGCACACAGCTGCCGGGCCACTGCAGCGTGGTGCCAGAGGGCAGAGGACGTTGCCCCGGCCTCCGCATGGACGTCACTAGCAGCGGGGAGCTGGAAAACATGCTCCCCATCAAGCGCAAGTCGCCTCAGGCTGGCAGCAGGCCCTCCCTGCCTTGCGGGCGCACTCCCGCTCCCTGCGGCACAGGCGCAGGCGCCCCTGCCAGCCCGCCGCCGCCCACTTTTGCCGGCGGGCGCCAGTACCAGCGCGCCTCGTGCGGTCCCACTTGCAGCAGCCCCGCCCTGGGCGGCTGGTGCACCCGCGTCGGCGGCAGCCACGACGGCGCCAGCGAGCGGGGATATGACGAAGAGGAGAGCCGGCTGATGGGAGAGGCGGCCCGCGGCAAGGCGCAGCGAGTGTGCTCCGGCGCGGGGGCAGAAGCGGCCGGCGCATGCGACGGCGGCGGCGAGGCAGCAGTGGCTGCGGCGGCGCCGCAGCTGCCGCTGGTCAGCAGCCTGCCGCCGGCGATGTATCGAAGCTACCACCTGGGCTGCTGCAGCCGCCTCAACAGCACGGCCTCTCTCACGGAGCTGGAGGCAGCGGGTGGCGCGGCGGCAGCAGGCGAGGCTGCGTTGCCAGTAGAGGCCGCTGTTCTGGCAGCCGCCACCGGCTGCGCCGCTGCTGCCGCTCCTGTCACGGTGTCGGCTGGCAGCAGCCCTCACAGCCCCTGGGCGGCAGAGACGCAGCAGGGCAGGCCACCTGCCTGCACCTGCGGGGCGTGCGGCATGCGGGCAGCGGCGGCGCCAGCCAGCAGCCAGCCGCCGCCGGAGGTCACGCAGCAGCTGCAGTGCCGGCACGCTAGGGCGGTTGCGGGCCCTCAGCAGCAGCAGCAGCAGCAGCAGCAGCAGCAGCACGGGTGGCAGCATAGTGGTGGAGGCGAGGCAGGGGGCGGCGCCTCAGACTGGGCAGAGGTGCCCGACGACATTCTGAAGCGGGTGCTGGAGCGGCTGGCGCCGTCCACGCTGCGCGTGCTGCGCCTGGTCTGCCGCGGCTGGGAGGCCGCTGCCAGCCGCCTGCTGCGCCACCTGCGCCCCTGCGAGGTGCTGGGCAAGCAGCTGGGGCGCCGCTTCCCCGCCCTGCACAGCCTGGACCTTTCTAATGCATCCATGGGGGTCGACTTCGCCTCACCCCGCATGCTGCGCCTGCAGGTGCGCCCGCGCGCACTGCGTGTGTCTGTGTGTGTGTGTTTTCTATTGTCGTTTGCTGCGGGGCTCTGCCTGCGCAGAGGTACCGCTGTGCAGTGCACAAGCTGCAGCTGCCCCGACCTAGCCGCCCGCCCGGAGCCAGCTGTCCCTGCTGCCCTGCCTGGGCGGCCACTCGACACCAGGCGACGGCCGGCTGGTTCCTGCCCCCTGCGTGCCGCAGTCGCTGCTGCGGGACGAGCACCTGGCTGAGCTGGCGGGGCTGTACCGCCTGGAGCAGCTCTCCCTGCGCGGCTGCAGCAGGCTGAGGTGAGGCACGCCCGCGGAGACACCCTCTGCTGACTGCTGGCAGTGTGGCAATGCCAGGCGGGGCCGGGCCCTAGGCTGTTCAGCCTTGGTCTGAAGGGCGCTGGCAGGAGGGCCTGGCTTGAGCGTGCTCACCCTGCTGCCCCTTCACCTGGTGCCCACCGCAGCGGGCGGGGCCTGTCTGAGCTGGGCCGCCTCAGCGCCTCCCTCACCATGCTCAACCTCAGCAACTGCGCGGGCATCACAGGCACGCACCCCGCCGGCTGGTGCTGCCGGCACTGCCTCTGGCTGCCAACCTGTCTTGTCTGCGTGCATCTCGGCTTGGCTCGCTGGCCGACCGGGTCCCACACCCACCCTCGCCGTGTGGCTGACGATGCCTGCCCCGCCCTGCACCTGGCCTCCTCCCCTCCCCTGCTGCAGACGAGTGTCTGGCGGCGCTGGCAGCCGCGGTGCCGCACCTGGCCACCCTCAACCTGCAGGGCTGCAGCCGCGTGGGCGACCGCGGCATTGCCCACCTGGCCGCCATGCCCGAGCTGCGCCACATCCTGCTGCCGGCGGGCGTGTCGGATGCCAGCATGCAGCTGCTGGCTGACATGCCAGGTGGGGCGCGACACGCGCGGCGCCGCGCCGGCGCCGGGCCAGCCTGCTGGCTAGCTTGTCCGCCCCCGCCGTTGCCCATGCCCCCGGCCTGCGGCCAGTGCCCACGCCACCGCAGGCCCACCACCACCCTGACCTATGCCCGCCCTGCCCTTGCCCGCTGTGCAGCACTGGAGCGAGTGGCACTGCGCTGCTGCACCCAGGTCACCACCGCAGGCGTCTACCTGCTGCTGCAGGTGAGTGCCCTCGGCTGGTTGGCTGCCTGGCGGGTTGTGGGCCCGCCGGGGCGCCAGCCACCAGGCAGGCGCCGCCCGCTGGCAGTGTCGCTCGCCTCACCGCCTGTGTGTGCCCTCCTGCGCTGCAGCGCCGCGGCCTGAAGCGAGTGGTGATCAGCAAGTGCCCGCTGGTGACGCTGGAGAGCCTGTGCGGCTCCCCGGGCGAGCCGCGGCTGAAGGTGGTGACAGAGGGAGCGGTGCCCACGGCAGCTGTGGCGGCCATGGCAGGCGGGGCGCTGGCGGCGGGCGGCGGCGGCGCGGCGGGCGGCGGCGGTGCGGCGGCGGGGCTGGCGGGGCAGGACATGCACCTGCTGGTGGCCGAGGTTTAGGCCCCTTGCAGCAGCTCAGCGCCATCGCAACAATTCCTTCAGTTCAATCCAGCATAACGCGGCCGCGGCCCTCATGAGGAGTTTCCCATCCCATGGTCCTGGGACCAGCAGCGCGCCCTTCCCTTCCCTTCCAGTCAGTCTCGCGGCCCTTGGGCCTTGTGTACTACGTAGCGCTCAGAACCCAGCACACTTAGCTCCAGGAACGAACCCTTGCTCTTCGCTGTCGTTGACAGCCACAGCCCAACACATACCTGCCCAGCACTTGGAATTAGAGACCTGTAAAGGCGTGACCTTGTGCCTGGAGAGCAGTTCCAAGCTGTGCCCCTTGGCGCAGGACAGGACAAGCATTGTGCCGATGCTGGCCTGGCTGGCTACCACCTCTCAATTCCTTCATCCGTGGGGAGGATGCAGTGGCAGGGTGCTTGGCTCCCGAGGGTTGGTCATTAACAGAGAGTAACTGAAGGGAGCGTCAAAAATTGTCGAGGCCGGTTGCCAGTCGGTGCAGCTGGCCCTCGAGGCAGTTCAGGGAAGCAGTCACTAACATGAATGTGTGAATCGGGCAGCGGGAGGTGTGGAGGCAGTGACAAGGTGTGAGCGGGAGAGGGCGACTGCGCAGCAGCGTAGCTTTGGACTGCTGTTAGGCCTGTGGCGGCAGCCGGTTGGTTGGCTGGCTGGCGGCGTCAGTGTAGGGTCACGAAGGGGGTACTCAATAGGGTGCTGCTCTCAGTCTCTCAAAGGCGGCCGCTGGCGGCGCTGCGTGTATGGCGGGGGGAGGGCGGCGGGCCTCGCAGCGTTGCCGTAGCCTCAGCTTTGGCATGCGTTCAGCGGGACCATGGCGGCGGGTACTGCAGAGGTGTCGGGACTGCCTGTCAGCGATTCTCTAGTACTTGATGAGTTCGTTGTAGACGTCCAGCTCAACCGCATGATAGTCCAGGTCTGCAGCCAGCCACAGGCGTGGCTGCTCAGGGGCTATTGGCGAGGGCAGCGGCGCGCCGTCTGCCCCTCGCGCAGCCAGCGCCGCCGGCTGGCATGCACAGGCAGCACGCTGCGCAAGGGAGGCCGGCAATGCACCACCACCACAAAAGCAGCAAGGTCGTAAACGCCGCGCGCGGCTGGTGGCGCGTACCGGAGCTGTACCGCTTGACCACGTGGCCGTACTTGTCGATCAGGAACTTGGCAAAGTTCCAGCGGATGTCCTCGCCCTCGGGGCGCCCTGCACAAGGCACCAGCGGCGGGGGCATGAGCGGCAGGCGAGGCGCACGCGCTGCGCGGAGGGGCGGCGCTGGCTTCAATGGGCAGCCCGGCGCGCGGCGCAGCGGGGTGCTGCTGCTCGCTGCCGTGTCATGCAACCTGCCGCACCTGGCTCTGGCGGCGAGTTGACCTTGAGCCAGGCGAAGATGGGGTGCTGCGAGGCGCCGTTGACCTCCACCTTGCTCATGAGCGGGAACTGGGAGCCGTAGTGGGTGCTCACAAACTGCTCAATCTCGGCGTGGGTGCCCGGCTCCTGCTGCCCAAACTGCAGCCGGAGCGAGGTTCAGCGCTCAGCAGGCAGGCATGAGCGGCAGGCACGAGGGCAGCGCTGGAAGAGCCAAGCGCAGGTGCCGGCGCGTGGCTTGCCAGGCAAGCGGGCGGGGTGGGCAGGCAGGCGTCGTGCCTGGTTGCAGGGGAAGGCCAGCACCTCCAGCCCAAAGTCCTTGTACCGCTGGTGTATGCGGGACAGGCCGCGGTAGTTGGCCTCTGCAGGCGGCGGCGGCGGTACACGGCGCAGCGGGCGGGCGAGGTGGGGCGGGATGCCAGCGAGGCGGGGGCACCACAGCGCAGCGATGCCAGGGCTCCATGGCACGGCACCCTGGACGCTCAGGGGGCCTCGGCCCCTGCTCTGGTCCTGCCCCAGCCCCGCCCTCCAGCACGGCTCACCCGTGTAGCCGCACTGCGAGGCCACATTCACTATCACCGTCACCCGCCCCATCAGGTCGGCGGTGTGCAGCACCTGGCCGTGGATGTCCACGGCTGCGGGGTGTGGGGGGGGTGGGAGGCGGGGGCGACAGGCAGGCGGGCACATCAGGGCGCCTGGCTCCTGTGCCGCGGCGGCGCGGCACGCCTCGCACAACCCGTGTACCGCCAGGGGAGCCAACTGTTGCATGCATGCGCCGCCGCGGGCGGGCCGTCCGGCACCCCGGCGCCACAAGCCCCCCCCCGGCGCCAAACCTCTTCCACAACCCCGACCCCCACCACCGGTCCTGCCCCGCCGGCCCTCACCCGACAGGTTTGCGGAGTAGAGGCTGGGCCCCTCGCGCCGCGGCATCGCCTGCTGCTCCGCGATGTGCGCCGCCACCGCCGCCGCCACGTCGGGATCGGGATGCAGCTGCGCCAGAGAGCCGGGGCCCCCCAGCTGCGCCTCCAGGTGGGGCAGCTCAGCCAGGTGCTGCGCCTCCAGCTGCGCCTGCTGCACCTGAGACGCGTCCGGCCCCGTGTCCGCCGCGCCGATGGCGTCCCAGGCCTCCACATCCGCAGAGTGGTGCACCGCCGGCTGCTGCTGCTGCTCCTGGGCGTCTTGCCGCTGCTGCTGCCCCGCCTGCTGCGCTAGCGTGGCCTCCGCCGCGGCCTTGGCCAGCGCGGCCGAGGCGGCGGTGGCGGCGTGACGCTCCTCCATGGCCGCCCGCCGGTCGTGGACGTCGTCGTGGAGGTGCAGGGCGCCGGCCTCGCTGCTGTGCACGTCGTGCACATCGCTGCCGCCGTGCAGGTGGTGGCGCTGCTGCTGGCGGTGCTGCTGCTTGTGGCGCAGCGCGCCGGCGCCGACGCCCGCGCCGACCGCAGCGCCATCATAGAAAGCGCCGTCGGCCAGGCCAAAGTCGTCCGGGCCGGTGGCCAGGCCGGGCCGCCCCACCCGCATCACTCCGTAGATCGAGCCCGCCAGCATGACGGTCACCAGCAGGTAGGTGAGCAGCCTGCATGATCGCGGGAGGGGGGTGCGGGCGGTCGGGGCGGGCAGCCGGGGCGCGGGCAGAGCAATAATGGAGAGAGGAGCCCGGACGGTGCGGCTGCGGCATCGACCGTGGTGCTCAACATGCCACCCATCCTGAAGCCATCCGATGCCCATGACGCCGGTGGCGCGCTCACCGTTGCACGGCGGCAGACTGGCCGCTGGCTTTGCGGCGCCCAAACAGGCGCGACTCGTGGCGGGGGAAGGTGCAGGAGGTGGTGACGGGCAGCAGCCCGCTCGATCTCGAGCGCAGCATCAGGGCGGGGTTCATGTACGCGCGAGCGCCGCACGCCGCCTGCGCACTCCCTGCCGCAGCCACGAGAGCTGCGCGGAGGGCCGGCCGCCGGCCTTACGTCGCCGCCGCCGCCCGCCCGCCTGCGCGGCCGCTGCCGCCCACCGCCTCTGCGTTGGCACCCGCCTTCTTCGTTCGGAGAACCCCACCTGCACACAGTTGCAGCCACAGGAGGCGGGGCAGAGGGCCCAAGGTGACGATGCCGTTCAAGTCTGTGCAGGCGGTGGTTGGCAGCTGCCAACCCATCAGCAGTGAGCTTGCATCGACGGAAGAGCAATGCCATCACGATGCCGCCGATGAGCGCAGCTGCAAGCCGCTACAGGCAGCCCAGGCAGAAGGGTGACATCGCTCTGAGACAGAGGGTGCAGGGCACACCTTGCGAGGCTCCTGGGCGAATGGGGCAGGTCAGTCCCGTGGTGGGTTGCTGGAAGTGGGGTCCACCGGCGCTGGGCTTCAGTTGCAGCCGCCTTGCGCCCAGCCTCCAAAGGGGTGAGCGCGATTGTGTGGACTGAAATGGTGCCGCGGAGAGCTCTGTTCGCTCAATGAATGGAGACAGAGCCGCATAGGGAGGGGCAGATGCAGGTCCTGCACCAGCCACAGCACAGCGCGCCGTCCATGCTGTCGGCGGTGTTGTTGTATCAAGAGCTTCTTTTAAAAGGACGACCCTTTTCATGTGGCCATTGTTCCAGCAAACGTGATCTGCTGCTCATGCAATCATCACAAGCAAGTATCTCACCAACCTCGCAGCCCTGAAGCTGCCGCTCGGTGTCGGGAAAACGCGGCACGATGCTCCTGCCACCCTGCATCCCTGAGTGTGCTAAGGAGTGCAGGAGCCCCAGCTGCCTAGACCAAAACTCCAGAGACAGCCATTTACAGCAAAGGGAGGAGAGGGAGCAGAAAACTGTGCGCCGCAGGCTGCATGCGGGCGGCGGAAAACAGCAGCGAAACAAAGACGTACTCGTGCCGGGCGCAGAGCCGCGAGGGGCCTGGCGGGTTGCATGGGAATGGGTGGGGGCTATGCTGGGAGAGGGGGCTGGGGAATGCGGGGGCTGGGGGCCGCATAAATGCGCCTCACACTCGGAAGGTCATGTGCCGCAGGATGTTGAGTTCGGCGCCGGCCTGGGGCGTGCTGAGGTACTTCTGCACCGCCTGGCCCGCGGTGGGGGCGGCGGTGTAGGTGTACAGCACATAGATGCCCTCGGTGAACCTGCGGCACCGAGGAAAGCGCGGCGGGGCGCGGGGAGGGCGGTGAGAGCGCAGGCAGGCGCCAGACCACCCAGCGGCATCCAGGGTGCGAAGGGCGAGCCCCGACGCGGGCGCCACAGCCCGAGGCCTTTCCCCAACAACGCACGGCCTGCCGCGCATGCCGCTGCGCGGGCTGCAGCCCCCCGCACACCGTCCCAGCCCTGCCCTGCCACCGCTGCGCGTCTCACCTCTTGATGGGGTAGGCCAGCCGCTGCCTGCCGCGCACCATGTCACTGAGCTGGCTGGCGCCCTGCTTCTGCAGGAAGGCCTGGAACTTGGCCAGCTCCTGGTCCCGCTCCTCGTCAGCCATGGTGGGGCGCAGCACAATCATCGTCTCGTAGCTGCGGGCAGTGGGTGAGGAAGGCAGGGTGAGGAAGGGGGCGAGGGCGGGATGAGCGGGGTGGCGCGGGTGCGCGGGTAGGAGGGCAAGGGGATTTCGGCCAGGGCGCCGCCGGCCACACCATCAGCAGTCGTGCAGCAGTGGCAGATGCGCGGCAGCAGCGCTGCACGTGCTCGATCTGCCAACGGATGGTGTGTGCGTGGCCGCGCAAGCGTGGTGCGGCAACTGGCAGGCGGCGGCCGACCAGGATGGCAGCAGCAGCTGCAGTGCGCATGCAGAGCTGGCAAGCACAGCAGCAGCCAATGTGCTGTGCGCGCAGCAGCCAGGACTCACGTGCACTGCGCAGTGGGAGCCGCCGCCTCTGCCGCCGCCGCCTGCACCGCAGCAGCGCCCGACCGGAAAACGGGTCAGTGCCATGCCTCGCCAGCCGCCTCCCCTGCTTCTGCATCCCTCAACGCACCTTTACCACGCTGCTGCGCTGAGCCACCTTGCTGCTGCCTGCTGCCGTGAATGCCGTGCGGCGGGCTGCTGCCAGGCGGGGCGCCGCCAGGCTGCTGGCCTTGCGGGACGCCGCTGCGCTGCTGGTGCGGCCCGCACAGGCCGCCTGCGCGAGCTGGGCGATGGCGGACATGGCTTTGCTGCTGCCTCCACTCCCGGCCGCCGCTGCGCTCCTCAATTGACAGAGGGGAGGTGTTGGACAGTCGTGAGCGTGGCGATGGGCACAATGGGCCACCCCTTTTGGTGCCTCGCCAGCAGGACGCCCAGGGTCGGGAGCTGCATGCATTGTGGCCCGACACGCCGCGCGCCAAACGCACATTGTGTTACAACTGTGAAATCCGTGCATCAAGTCAGTGCGGAGGGGCAGTGCAAGCGGGCATAGCGGCCACCCCGCCGCCCCCGCCGCCCTCGACACGCAAGGCACCCCGGCCGCCAACGGCGATCAGTTGATGAGGGCTCGCAGCGTGATGTGCAGCGAGGCGTTGCTGAACCAGGCGTACATTTCGGGCAGCGCGACATCCACCCGCCGCCGGAAGTGCTCCACCGCCGCCAGCAGCGCCCGTCGGTCTTCCAGCTCCCGCACGCCACGCACCCGCAGCCCTGGCCGTGCTGCCGCAGGGCAGGAAGGGACAGGCAGGGGCTGGCCAGTTGGCACAAGGAGGTCTAAATATGACGCCGGCCTGCCAGCCACTGCATCAGAAACGGCGGCAGCCTCCAGCAGCAGCTCTCCCTACACCTCAGCCGTTTGCCCTCACCTGCGTGCGCCGCCGCCTCATCCGCCTCGCCGTGCGCCCACAGCTCCAGCGGGTGCATCAGCGTGGCCCCCAGGTGCCGCCCCCGGTAGTGCGCCTCGCGGTTGCCGTCCCGGCTGGCCTCAAACCAATAGTTTGGTGCTTCGGGCTCAGCCAAGATGCCTGTCACCCGCGCCCGCTCCTGGGCAGAGGGCTGCACCGCGTCCACTCCGCCTGCACCACCACGGCCCAGGAATGCCAGGGATGGATGCAGCACATGGCCCATGCGTCTGCTGCAGGGTGGCAGGCTTCCCGCTCGGCGCCAAGGGCGCGCTGGTGGCTCCTCCAGGGCTTGCTGCTGCCAAGCGCACGCTGGCAGCTGGGTCTGTTGCTGCTGCTAGGCATCCTGCGCTCCCCACCTTGGAACACCACGTGCTGGCAGCTGAGCAGGCGCTCCAGCGAGCGGCATTCAAACAGCGCCACAGAGGCGGAGTCCACCGACAGCTTCAGGCCCTCGGCGCCGCCGACCCCTTGCTGCTGCTCAAAGCCGGCGCTTTCCTCTCTGCACCAGGCAGGATGGACCACCCTCCTTCAGGAGAACCTTTGGTGCGGCTCGAGCCAGGAACACTGGCTTCGCAACACAACACCCGCTGGAAGCGCTACTCTCCCGCGAAGGCACCCAGGCTTGTCTCGCCACCCCCTCTACCTCACTTGCAGATCTGGCACAGCACGGCCAGCTGGTCCGGCGTCAGGCGCTTGCCATCCCGTAGGCAACCTAGCGAGGTCTTGGGCCACTTGCTGCCTGCAGGCACGGCGAAACGGACAGAGCAGAGCGGCAGGTGTTGTGCCAGCCAGTCCAGCAGCGCCCAGAAACGGGCAGACAGGGCAGTGGCGGCGACTGCTCAAGGGCTCCATTCTGCCAGCCAGCATGCTTCCCACCAATTGCTACCAAACCGCACATTACCTGGATTCTCAGGTGGCAGCGAGGGGTGAGCCGCCGTGATGCGCTGCTTGAGGTCAACTAATGACTCTGTAAACCCGCTGCAGAAATGCAGAGGGCCAGGCAGGCCAGGCTAAAGCATTGGCAGCCCCTGGAGCGTCAGCCGGCCACGAGGAGCTCGCAGCGCAGCAACAGGACTGCCACAAGCACTGCATGCAATACGCGCCTGTATGCGAGCGTCAGGACTCCTTGCCACGACACAAAGAAGGCAGCCGGCTCCAGGAAGGAGGTGGGCGTCTGCTCAAGCTCCGCGACCAGCGGCGGCAGCGTTGCGGCGCTGCCGGCGACAGCCGCTGGCGGCGCTGCAAGCTGGGCAGCCATTTCAGCGCAACGTGTTCCTGAACCTTTCTCGATTATTCGGTCGGAGCAGGTCTAGTTGTTCAGCCACGCGCCTTCTACCAGAAATCAGTCGTGGTTCCGAGGCAGCGATGGTGGGCGGTGGGCAGCAGGGTGTTGTTTAGGCGTGATCAATTATGCTTCGGTCCAGAAAGCCGTGTTTGCGATGGCGCCAGCCCCCGACATTTCCCTGCATTTCTCCAGCTTCGCCAGGCGGGCACAGCAGCGGGTGGGTGTAGCAAGTCCCTGGAAGATGATCCCTCTCTGCACCCCGGTGAAAAATTGATACAAGCAACCCTGGTCATACCAGTAGGCGCGGGACACTGGTGTGTAGGTTCCAGGCTGCCAGCCGCCACATGGCGGGTTGCGGCACGGTCGGCCCCACGGCCGCACGGTGCCAGCAGAGTGGATCGGTTGTGCGCTCGGGCTGCGGCTGGGTGTGCATGACATCTTCAATTGGATTTATTCATTGGGGGCTCGCACCTTTTCAACCAGATGGGCAAAGTCCGGCCGGGACGCCAATGCGCCGCTGGCACGCCACCTCAGCTTTGGGCGATCGCCAAAACCGGCCCCTGGCACCTCATCCCCACGCCACACACCATGCTGATCGGCCAGAAGGGTGTCAAGTACGGCCTGCAGGTGCGGGGGTCCGCCGGCGCCAAGCCAGCCGGCGCCAAGCCCGCCCCCGCCAAGAAGCGCTGCGTGTTTGGCGAAGACGACTCTGATGAAGATGCGGAGGACAACGTGGAGCAGCAGATTGCGAGGCAGGCGGCTCGGAAGCAATCGGACAAGAAGGTGTGGACTCAGGGCGCGCTGCTGGCCTCCGCTGGCTATGCAGAAACGGCGGGAGGTCGTGGGAGCATGCCGCGAGGACCCCGTGGCTGCTGCCGCTTGGCGGCTGCCGCAGCCCGCCGCCGCCACCGACCTGCCGCCACCGCACCGCCACCGCCTCCTGCTGCGCAGGTGGCTGAGGTGCATGCTGCTGCACTGGCCGAGGATGCCTCCATCTTTGATTATGACAGCCACTACGACAGCATCCAAGAGGTGCGGTTGGCTCAGAGCTGCCACGCTGCTTGGCTCTGCGCTCAGCCTCCTCTCTGCAGCGGTTGGCGCGTTAAATGTGGGTCGAGCGCCCCACCCCACATCAATGCCAACCGTCTAGCGCCCCTCCCCCCTTGCAGGCCCGCGCAGAGCCCAGGAAGCAGGAGAAGCTGCAGCGCCAGTCGCGGTACATCGCGGGGCTGCTCGGTACGCTCAGCTGCGGCCTGGCCCAGCCCGCTGCGGTGCAGGCTTGTCCGCTGCTGTACGGCGCGTGCTTGGCACGCGCTGGGGCTCGTCCTTGTGTCTGGCGCCTTGTGGCGGGCCCAAGCGCTGCTGTGCTGCTGCGCCTGCGCCAGCGATCGCCACTCCGCCCGCCACCCCGCCGCTGTCCGCCTGGGTGCAGAGAAGGCGGAGGAGCGCAAGCAGGAGCAGGACATCCTCTATGAGCGCCAGCTGGCCAAGGAGCGCGTGGCAGGTGAGGGCGCCGCCCGCTGCATGCCTCCCACCGTGCCGCTCTCGCTGCGGGCCGCCGTATCCGGTGCCGCTGTGCTGCCCCTTCCGCCCCACGCGGTGCGCCCTCACCTCGCTGCTCCCCCGCTGCGCCTGCCTGCCCCTCCTGCTCCACGTGCAAGCAGAGGATCACCTGTTTGGGGACAAGGAGAAGTTTGTGACGGCGGCGTACCGTGCCAAGCTGGCGGAGCGGCAGGCGTGGCAGGAGGAGCAGAAGCGCAAGTGGGTGGCCCCGCCCCGCCGTCGCCCTGCGCCGCGCTGCTTCCGCAGGCTGGCCAGCCCGGTGGCTGCAGCGAGGGGCAGCAGGCTGTGCCCGCCTGTTCGCTGGTCGCATGTCAGGCAGGCTGCATGCGGGCCCCAGGTGCATGCACAACCGGCGGCCCACAACCGACGGCCGCGCCGCGTGCCCTGTCGCCCTCTGTGTGCAGGAAGGCGGAGGAGGAGGCGAATGCGGTGGAGAAGCGGGGTCACATGGGCGACTTCTACCGCAACCTGCTGCGCTCAAACGTGGCCTTTGGCAGCAAGGCGGCGGCAGACGGCAAGGAGGCGGAGAAGGCTGCGGCGGCTGCGGCGGCGGGGGGCGAACAGCGGCAGCCCGGGCCTGGGGGGGCTGCTGCGGCTGCCCAGCAGGAGGGCCAGGGCCAGCGGCGAGCCGTGGAGCCAGGGCAGGCGCAGCGCGAGCAGGAGGAGGCGATGGCGGCGGAGGCGGCGAAGCAGCGGGCCCAGCGTGGGGCTGCCCCCGCGGCAGCGGCGCCGGCAGCAGAGCAGCAGCAGCAGCAGGCGGGCCCTCCTGTTGTGCCTGCCGGCGCGGCGGCGAGCGGGAGCGCGGCAGCAGAAGAGGGTGTGCCGCCTGCAGGGGCTGGCGCTGCCGAGGAGACCGCGCCAGCGACGGAAGCCGTTCAGCGGCGGAACAAGGATGATGCTGTGGCGGCGGCGCGGGAGCGTTACCTGGCGCGCAAGCGCCAGAAGACGGGCTGAGGCCGGCCTGCTGTTGTGCGGCGGCGTGCGGCGGCGCGGTACTCGCCGCATGCATGATTTCATGGTATCACCACCATTGCCTTTCGTAACATGCACTGAGGCACACTGTATGCAAACAGTTGAGGTTCAAAGCAGGGTTAAAGCAGGATGGCAACTTGAGCTCACACCCCTGGAGCTGTGGTGTCCCGCACGGCCTCACGAACAGGCGCCTCGTCCAGCCCTTTGAGCATGCCATGCCCATGAGATCAAGGACAGCCAAGGAATGCCTGGGTATCCCCACAGAATGGTGCACCTGAAAACCTGCCAAGTCACGCGGTACTGTGTGGCGATGGCTAATCCCCAGAGGAAGCCTCCCCCGCAAGTAAAATAGAGCGCTGAACGGGCTGCCCGTGGTCTCCTGCCACCAAATACTTAAACCACAAGTGCAGACACACTGAGAGGACTTGAGGGAGCGAATTCCGCCCCGCGCGGGCTCCCGCTCCACGCACATGGCCTCACAGCCAGCACCTAGCGATGGGGGGCAGCTGGAGTGCGGAGAGAAGTGCGAGGTGCGTTCATGCCGGCCAAACCCCGATGCGCTGTCCTCCCCTCAACCCCGGGGCTTGCACGCCACTGGCATGCTACCTGAGGTGCCCCCCGGGGCGCTGGAGCGCCTGGGAGGCCTCTCGCCGCTAGCGTGGGCCTCACCTGGGTGGAAGCTATGCCAACCCCATGACCACCAGCTGCCTCCTCTCCCTTGCAAGCGCAGGTGGCCATCTCCATAGCCGTGGTGGCGGAGCTGCGGCGCCTGCCCTCCGCCCGCGCCTTCCCTGCTAAGCGCCACCGTGGCTTCGGCTTTGTCTCGGGCGGCGCTGGTACCCTCCCCGCCTGCGGCTGCAGCAAGCTCGCCGCGCAGGCGGCTCTAGACCCCACCGCCTTCCTGCTGGCCGAGGCGGCCAGCCAGCTGTCGCACCTGGTCAAGCAGCACGTGCAGCGGCGCATGCTGCGCACGGGGCGGCGCCCTGGGGGCGCCTCGCGCCTCGCCGACGACAGCGACACCAGCGGCAGCAGCTCGGATGAGGACGTCACGGAGGCGGCGCCGCGGCGGCGGCTCCTGCTGGGCGACGAACCCAGCCAGCTGTGCAGCAGCATGGGCGCCGCCGACAGCACCAGCGTCGCCTCCACCTCTGTCGGCGGCGGCGCCGGCAGCACCAGCCTGCCCGACAGCGGGCAGGTGTCGCTGGGCGCCAAGCGCGTGCGCATGCAGCGCCAGTACGCAATCGACCTGGCGGGGCAGTGCCTGCTGGGCGGGGAGCGCCTGCCGCTGCCGCCGCCGCCCGGACCGGCCAACTAGGCGGCCGGCGTGCCCGCCCAGCCCTTCGCGTCGAGAGAGGCGCTGCTCGGTGCAGCGCGGCATGCATCACCAGCGCAGCTCTTCAGCCCTGACCCAGCCTATACCAGTGCGCCAAGTCCGCTGCGCCTTGCTAGCGGCGGCCTCGCCGCGGGCTGTGCTCCCCATGCCTACTTTATTCTCGCCCTAACATGCTGTTGCTCCTAGGCTATTGGTCCCCCACCGTTTCCTCCCCTCGATCCCCGTCCCGGCCCGCACCGTACCCAACAGGCCCCAACACACGATTCACTATTGAGCATTGCGTCAGCAGGCAGCCCTCCGTGCACCCCGTGCTTGCTGCCTCCCCCTCCCTGCCGTTGCCCCTTCACCTGTGTCTGCCCCGCCACTCCCAACCAACCCCATGCATCGCACACTGATTGCTTCAGCAGAGAGCCATGATTCATTTTGTTTTTCCTCCTAGGCAGAAAACGTAGAGATAGGACCCTCCCTGCCCATACGCAAGCTGCTCCCCCCCAGCACACTCCCCTGTTCATGCCTGCCCACCCACACATTACGCGTGCATGCGTCTCCCACTGTTTTTTGCCTTCTACCTCTGGCCATTTTCCTCGCCATGTCGCATCCCTGCCAGAGTCCCTGCTCACCACACCCATCACCTGCACTACTCACCCCGTCAACGCCACCAGTACCCCTCTTCTCGCTTGTTCCTCTTATCTTTGGCCGCCTGCACAGGTGCCGCTCGTCTCTTGAACATGAGCTGCTGCCCTGTGCCTCCTTCTCATTTCACGTTCACGCCAGCAATCAAAGCTGCCCAAGCCTGTGCACTCCCAAGCCCTCGTCTGTCCGCCTTTTGTGTCACAGCTTTGTAAGGCCAACCGACGCGCTCTGGCAGCACACGCGTGCCGACAGCAGCGGAGCTGGAACGCAGGGCAGGCAGCAGGCTGCCCTGCGCCTCAAATCTCCTCCTGCTCTGGCTCGCTGGCGGCGCCGCCGCCGCCGTCGCTGCCGCCGCCTCCATCGTCGCCGCTGCTGCTGTCGTCTGGCGGTGGCTCGGGTGAGGCATCAAAACCGAAGAACAGGCGTTCATCCTCAGTCATGTCAGTGTGGTGCATGGCAGGCGCGGCAGCCAGCAGCGGCTGCTGCGCCGCCGCCTGCCGCTGGCCCGCCGCGCCACGCTGCGCCGTCGGCTCCGCCGCTGCCCGCTCCTCTTCCTGCGCCTCCTCCTCCTCCTCCTCCTCCTCTTCCTCGCCGTTGCTTGCTGCTGCCGCCGCGTCCGCTGCACCATGTTCGGCTGCCGCCTCCTCGCCCGCCTCCTCCTCCTCCTTTTCCCAGCCCTCCTCCTCCAGGGCCCTCAGCAGCTCATCTTCCAACAGCATCGAGCTGGCACCCTCTATGGGCGGCCCGGCTGCGCCGCCGCCGCCGCCCGCTCCCGCCGCCGGCGGCTGAGCCTCCTCCAGCGCGGCAGCCACCCCCAGCCCGGCTGCCACCTCCTCCAGCGATGCCGCCCCCGCAGCGAGCGCCTCCTCTGCAGGCGGCGCCTGGGCCGCTGCCGCCGGCTGCGGGGTGGCCCCCAGGCTGGCGCCGCCCGCCCGCGCCGTGGCCGAGATGTGCCTGCAGCGCCGCGGGGCAGCAGCGGCGGGCACGCAGTGGAGCGTCAGGCCCAGCAGCAAAGCCTGTGCGATGCGCGCTGCAAGCAGCACCAGCTGGCGAGCAGGCCATGGTGCCGCAGCAGGCACAGGCGCCCAGCACCCCATGCATCCCCATGCATCCCCATGCAAGCAAGCCGCGGCCGCCGCCCTCACCTCAGGTTCTTCACAGCTGCCCCCAGCAGCTCCAGGCGGAAGGAGGCGCCGTCAAAGAGCGCCACGCAGTCCAGCCCGTCCCTGCTGGGCTCGTACTTGCCGGCAAAGGCGGCGTCGCCCATGCGGAGGCTGACCTGCCGGGGGGGGGGGGGGGGGA